TCATAATTATTTCATACTGTATTAAGAAATTAATTTCTCAGGCTGGGCGTGGTTGTTCATGCCTGTAATCCCAGAACTTTGGGAGGCTGAGGCAGGCAGATCACAAGGTCAGGAGTTTGAGACCAGCCTGATCAACATGGTGAAACCCCGTCTCTACTAAAAATACAAAAATTAGCCCACGTGGTGGTAGACACCTGTAATCCCAGCTACTCAGGAGGCTGAAGCAGGAGAATCGCTTGAACCCGGGAGGGGAAGTTTGCAGTGAGCCGAGACCGCTCCATTGCACTCCAGCCTGGGTGACAGAGCAAGATTCCATCTCAAAAAAAAAAGAAAAAGAAATTAATTAATTTCTCATTAACCAAGTATTGGACAACTGTCAGTACTAAAGGATGAAAGGCTAAAGAACTGCAGTGCTTTGACCAACTTCAAGAGTAAAACTAGGTAAAGGAATAATGTGGTGGGGAATGCTCCACTGATATAAATGTGACCTAAATGGGTGGTTTAGGTGTGTAAAACAATCTAGGTAATGGTGAGGTTTTCTGTGGAATGTCACATTGTATTATAAAGTATGAAATGGCCATATGAGGTGGCTCATGCCTGTAATCCCAGCACTCAGGAGGCAGAGGCAGGTGGATTGCTTGAGCTCAGGAGACCAGCCTGGGCAACATGGTGAGACTGTATTATTATCATTGTTATTTTGACATAGGGTCTCCCTTTATCACCCAGGGTGAAGTGTAGTGGCCATGACCTTAACTCACTGCAAACTCCACCTACCCAGTTCAAGCGATCTTCTGGCTTCAGCTCCCACAAGGAGCTGGAACTATAGGCAAGCACCACCACGCCCAGCTAATTTTTGTATTTTTTTCTGTAGAGATGGGGTTTTGCCATGCTGCTCAGGTTTGTCTCAAGCTGAACTCAAGTGATCTGCCTGCCCTGGCATCCCAAAATGCTGGGGTTACAGGCATGACCCACTGCTCCCAGCATAATTTAGTTTAATGACTAAGTGCCAGTCATACTCAGTGGTGAAAACAAATACAAGAAACATAATCAGAAGACAGACGTTTAAAAATACAGGCCAGGTACAGTGCCTCATGCTTGTAATCCCAGAACTTTGGGAGGCCTAGGTAGGAGGATTGCTTAAGACCAGGCTTGAACTCAAGCTTGAACTCGCTTGAGTTTGAGACCAGCCCAGGCAACATAGCAAGATTTCATCTCTATATTAAAAGAAAATAGAAATAAAAATGGGAAATTGAAAAAGGACTGGGTGCAGTGTCTCACATCTGTAATCCCAGCACTCTGGGAGGTGGAGGTGGGTGGATCACCTGAGGTCAGGAGTTTGAGACCAGCCTGACCAACATGGTGAAACCCTGTGTCTGCTAAAAACACAAAAAAATCTGGTGAGGTGAGGTGGGTTACTCCTGTAATCCCAGCACTTTGGGAGGCCAAGGAGGGCAGATCACTTGAGGTCAGGAGTTCAAGACCAGCCTAGCCAACATTGTGAAATCCTGCCTCTACTAAGAATACAAAAATTAGCCAATGGTGGTCCACGCCTATAATCCCAGCTCCTCCAGAGGCTGAGGCAGGAGAATCGTTCGAATGTGGGAGACACAGGTTGCAGTGAGCTGAGATCATGCCACTGCACTCCAGCCTAGGCAACAGAGTAAGACTGTGATTCAAAAAAAAAAGAAGAAGAGTTTATCTTCTAGTGGGCTGCATGGCTTTTCCATTCAGAACTGGGCCTTTCAGGCCAGGCGCAGTGGCTCATGCCTGTAATCCCAGCACTTTGGGAGGCCGAGGTGGGCAGATCACAAGGTCGGGAGTTTGAGACCAGCCTGGCCAGTATGGTGAAACCCCGTCTCTACTAAAAATACAAAAATTAGCCAGGCATGATGGTGGGTACCCGTAGTCCCAGCTACTTGGGAGGCTGAGGCAAGAGAATCACTTGAACCCGGGAGGCAGAGGTTGCAGTGAGCTGAGATCTCACCACTGTACTCCAGCCTGGGTGACAGAGTGAGACTCCATGTCAAAAA